AGTATATTTTAAAGCCAATCAAAAATGATAAAATAAATTAAAGGGTACAGTTTATTTATCTAGCTGAAATAAGCCGCAAAAATATATTTTCATTTTGGTGTTTAAATGGGTTTTACGTGGTTTTTCAATTGAAAACATATTTTTAATGTCTTATAAAATCAACAAGTGTGTGTTGCGTTAAGTAAAAGTAAAAAGTTCGTTTTAATTACAATCTAAAGTAAAGTTTAAAATACCAAACATGTAAATAAATACAATTAAACATCTCGGCTAATTACCTAGCTTATGTTATATTAACTGACTCCAGTTCAGTTTTGCAACTGATTCGGGATTTAAACCACCGACTTATGAGAACCACATGGCGCCAGGACAAGCTTAACCCGCTTAGCCCGCTTAACCCTCTGCGGTTGCTGGGTGCTCCTCGGACAGCAGTCAGGCGTGCCTCCAAAGCCGCTTAGCTCATTGTAAATTCCGGCTAAAGCCGAGCACAGAAACAATTTGGCTAAGCCATTTGAGGGGGCATGAGAGGTGGAAAAGCAGGTCCTCCAAAGGATACACACTGCCTGTTGCTGTTTTATATTTTCCCAGCTTTTGCCCTTTTAAGATTTATGGGCCCTGGGGCAGGTTGGTATGAAATGTCCAGCATTTTAAGTTATCGTTGAAATTGATAGACGGTTGATAGACAGAGCGAGTAAATTGATTAGGGTGACATGTGGGAAAATGTAAGCGAGCTCCAGCTCTCGTGTTTGTTTACCTTTGCCTGGGACCCCTTTTTTATGACCCTCTTTGCATATGACTAGCCCAAACAGAAGGACAAATACAGGAACACAAACTCAAAGCACACACACGAGGACTGGGTAAACAAAGGCAGGAGTTCGGAATAGGAGTCAAAGTCGGTCCGAGGGTTTAATGCCCTGGGGCAGTCGTTGACACTCACTGCTCTGCCATTTGGATCCAGATTGGGACATGTTAATTAAACAAATTTACCTTTATCTGATGTCGGCAAATATTGAAAGAGTTTTCACTCCAAAACCATTGAAATCCGCACGCCGAAAAGTATTCAAGTACTTGTAACTCATGGGAAACCGTTTCGATTTTTCGGCACTCAAAAATAAACCGCACTTGATTCTTCACTTGAACATTTCTATTTCGAGGGCAATATTTTTGCAATTTATTTTAATACACTTTTCTTTTATTTGAAAAAATTACTTTATTTGCCAGAAATCACTTAGTATTTGTTCTGCTTTAAGCAAAAATTCCTTGAATTTATTGTTAACTTTTCATTTAATATTTATTAAATCGAACCGTTTATTGTAATTAATAAAGTTAGATAATTTAAATAACTCGCTGTTTTTTCCGCTTTAGCCACAGCATTTTCATGTGGCAACCGCAAAGCCCGAGTGTTCAAATGCGTTTCTGGGGTTGCTCTTCAGTTCTGCCGTGGAAAACTCAAAGTTCGAAAAGCAGGGAAAATTCGAACTGCCAACGCAAGAGAAGTGAAATAAGAGAACCATTGGGGATAAGAGAAACTGTGCTTCCTGCCTGTCGGCGTTTTGTGTTGAAAGTAAAAGGTTTTGTGACATGCAACGCCAGTCGAATCCAAGACACCTGCCCACCTGGCCGCCACTTATGTATGACTATACTACATACCTGTCTGTTTGCAACTACGAAGTTTCGCATTTGTCGCTTTGGGCGTATTTTTTGTGCTCTCTTGGCCACGCACTTGTTTAATAGTTAAGCAGCCCGAAGGCACAATAATTTACCAAGGCGGGCCAGAACAGAGAAAAGGGGCAATCGGATGTGGCGGTGGGTAGAAAAGTTTGCCGAAATGGAAGTTTGGATAAAGTTTCGTTATATGATTCTCAAGCTGTCATTTTGCAATTGAAATTTATTGAGCTGTCTTAGGAAAGTCGTTCAATAAAGATATAAGGAATTTGCTGATTTTATACAGTGCATAAAAAATATATACAAAAAAAAGCACTTGCCAATCTAAATTATTTTATCCTTAAATGGATTTATTTATGATATATTCTAAAAAAAATGAATAACAAGACTATTAATAGTAAATAAGAGACAAATAAAGTTTCATATAGGAATTTTTTAAAACTAGAAATTATTGTTTCTGTATTTTCTAGAGAAAAAACTATAATTTACATCTACCAAAAGCCAAAAGGATGTGAGCTACTAATAAAACCGTCATATTCCTTTCTCTTAGGACGACAGTTATTCGGGTTTATGCTTCCCTAGTACGTGCATATAAAAAGCGGTCTTATATTTTCCTTTTTCCTCGCCGTTCTCTCTCTCGGCTTAGTCCTGAGTCCTGCCATATGATATGAATCATGGCCAGGAGCAGAGCAAGGGAATTTCCGACTGCCAAGTGGGTGGGTTGCGGTGGTAGTTCTCTCGCACATTTCCACCCACTCTCAGCCAAACTGTCTGGCCTGCCAAAGCAACAAATGTCTTTCAGCCACATTTCATTTCGCTGGAGAGTATGATACAGCTGTGTGCTTAGACTTAAGAGAGAAGTCAAGTTCGAAAACCAAATTCGCAAATTCTCTTAGTTGTGAGTCAAAAATAATGAAACTTGTTTCGCACTGTTTGGGCGTTTGTCAGCCCGGTTTAAACTCCTAAAATAATTGAGCCAAGGGCGGGCTGGTTATGCTATTGCAATATACCAAAAAAAAAAACTGAAAAATGTTTACAAGTGTTTGCTGAATGAAAAGCGAAACTTGATTGGCTGGCAAGTTGCTAAAAATCGTGTGGACGACGACGATGGAAATTCACTAATTGACAGCGATATCCAAGCACCATATGCACACATAGAACTTTTCATTGCTTTTCATTATTTTGCCGGAGCTCATTAATCTTGTGGAATGGTTTGCGAAAACAGTGCTTTGCAGGGGAATTCCAATCAGTCAGTAAATCATCGATTTGCACTGGGAAGATATTAGGTATAATGGGTAGAAGGGTCACAGCTGTGTGAAATAAATTAAAATCATGGGATGTTCGGTGATGGAAAGAATCAAAGAGATTCGACATGTCAAAATAATTATACAAATTTTGGTAATACCACATTTAAGAAGTTGGCACTTATTTTCAAGCCTATTTGAAATATTTTTACCTTATCAAAAAACAAATTTTTATTTGAGATCTTTAAAAAGGCAATAAAAACAGAATTAGTAGTTGTAATTTAATTTCCAAGGCAATCAATCATTTAAATCCCTACCATCTTATTTAGAATAATAATACAATGATGCTAGAGTTTATAATAACTGAGAAAAATAACTTGCAGCTATGGCAGAGTTATTGGAAAACAATTAAGCGAAAATCCAAGCCCCACCCGCTGTTGGCCATATCTAAGCCGCAAAAGATACAAAAACACACAAGTATATATACGTGAATACGTTTGAGGCATGGGTTGTGTGGAAAGGTCAGTTATGGCTTAGAGGCTTACGATTGCTTTGCCACACGCTTTGAGTTGCTTTTAATTGTTTGGCACATGCCGTGGGTGGCTTTGAATAGAAAAATAGTTGGCTTTGGAGCAACAGCGGTTGCATTTTTATCTCTTTGGTTTTCTGGCATACGGAAAACTGCAACTGGTTTTGATTGGCTAAGCCTGGCAACTGTTGCAATTTATTTGTCGATTCAGACAATTTGTTAAATTACGTTTTGCATAAAGCAAACATATATATTATGCGATAAGATTACTATAAATGCAAGAGTAAATTTATTATCAATATTATATTATTATCATTTATAATATTTTGATATTATATTATATTCGTCTGATCATTAATTGCTATGTATTATTGCCCATTTTTTAAAGTAACGACGGATACCATATTTAGCGCCATTCGTTAGCAAGTGCACACACCAGTGACAGCGTTGCCATATTAGTAAGTTTCACAACCATGCCAAATGTATGTAAAAACAATGTAGAATACATGTAGGGAGAATGTAATATTATTGTATATTTTCAAAAATTTGGCAATCTAGTTTTAAAAATAAAACAAAAATATTAAATATGCTTAAAATATAAATTTATGGAACAGATGTAAATTATTTACAAAACTCCACTACAAATCCTAGGATTTACAAGCCTAATCAATAATACCAAAAAAATGCATAAAGGCCCATTATTAGCCAATATCCTTGTATTTAGGTTTATCCCCTTATTAAACCTCTTTTTAACCACTTAACTAAATAAAATATGTTTCAATGCGTCACACGAGCGTTAATGTGAAAGGACGTTCAAACAAATTGAATACCCCAAAAATGTTCGGTTCATTTGTCCCATCTCGACACCCTACCCCAAGCCAGGGTCAACTAAAAAAAGTGTCGAAAAAAATTGGGCCCAAATAAAGCGTATCAAAACGAGGCAGCCGAGGGTCAGTTTGTCATTGAACACTCGAGTGGACAGCAGACAGGTGGAAATGCCCGGTCAGGAAACAATTTTAGTCCCCGGGCCTTGGTTCACTGAATTTCGGATTGAATTAATAAAAACAATTTCCAGGCATTATGTTGTGGTGCGTCGGATTTGAGAGGGAGTTGAGTGCGAAATTTATTTTCAATTTGTGCGTGGCGATGTGGTTTTTGAAAATTATACAAATGGGTAAAATATCTTTAATACACCCTATGTGTGTTTAAGCAGGGTTAAATAGATTTTTAGATATATATTTATTTTCAAATTTACCCTCATAATCAATATCAAAGAATAAGAATATAGTTTCTAACAATTGGTTCCTCTTCAAGTGAAATTGGTTAAGAAACTTTAACGTTATCTGCAAGCCAGTCTCTCTGCTGAAAAATGCAATAAACGTTAATTTTCAGTTAGTAGTGTCTGGTAGTAGTGTAAAAATGGCACGCCCGAGCCATAAATCAAATGAGTTGAAAAATGCTTTATAAAATAAAACGGAGGTAGCTGGGATTTCCGAAGGCCAGCAAAGTCCGAGCCGGGATGCCAAGGATGCCGCCATATGTGCGTCCAGTTGGCCAACTTCTCATCTACCCCCTTTTGCAAAACATCCTGTCTGGCTTGCACCTAACTGTCTGCATTGCCACTTTTGCTACACTTACTCCTTTTCCGTATCCCTCTGGAAATATTTTTGCGCCCTGCTGCATTTTGATTTACTTTCATGGCTAGACAACGCATGTTGAGGCGTCATAAGACCGGCTCACTTGTTGGGCTTCGAGAAATTATGTCCTGCAGGTGTCTGGGCCGCAACTGATTAGCTCCTGCCCCCGAGGACTCGCCGGCAGTTGGCAGTCCGTATCCTCTGGAATCCTGTGGCAGTGCCACTGACACTAATGCGACAGGTTGCCAGCCAACGACGTGCATTAAAATTCAATTACAAAATATTTTCCAGCTGCACTACGTGACCGAGGCTCAAAAGTCGCTCCAGGGTCACTCTCTTTTTATTGATGGGCTGGGGTTGGGGGTGGCTGTTTGGTCGTCGATGCCTTTGAACTTCGCGACAGCTGTTCCTATTTACAAGCGCTCAGCTCGCCCATGCTTCTGCATTAATTTAACAGATCAAACGCGCTGACAGAACCTCAAGCTAATGAAAATGTGGAAAAGCCTCTGCCAGTCCTATTTCTACTCAATTTCCACTCCACAGTCCATAAGCGCTTTTTAATGAAATGCGTTGATGTGTGGGCAGCAGCGCCATTCTGACAAGTTCTTGGTGGAATGAAAAAACAAATATCTAGAATTATATTTTATGCAGGAACAGCTGCTCTTGTGCACTAATATGGGTCTATTATCTCGCTAAACTTAGTGTCGGCATATTTCAATTAAAACTAGACTGATAAATAACTTTTCTAATAGATCCAGAAAATAATCAAAATGTTTGGACCCTGCAGCAAATTCAAAAATATATTTTCAAAATAAATAAAGAGAAATATTTCCGTGAAAATAAATGGTTTTAGTAAATATGAATCAAGATTGTACATTGAGTCTATTTTGCGGGAATTCTTAAACATACATTGTAGAAGAAAAATAACAGTTCCTAGAAATCATTATCTTCAATGATTATGTGACGGTCCCTGATACTTAACTCCCTTTATGATATTGTTTCATATTGTTTTTATAAAAAGGGAAAATTACGGTATACAATTTTAATATCAATTAAAATTCATTTTTTGAGTATTTTATAAGTTTATTTTAATTGACCTTGCATCAAACGAGAAAAAATATAAATATTTCTTATTATGCTACTGATAAGAGACAATACTTTCCAAGAAATTAATCCGAAGATGATAAGGCAGGCAATTGTACCTCTGTGTATAAATACAGAGGCGTTTGAGTGCAGCACTTACAGTTTCAATCGACTTTTACACAGTAGAACATCAAGGGACAATATGAATTCCGCATTTCAACTAAGGTAAGCTTTTCTTGAAGTACTTGTAAGCCCAGTAATTAGGAATCTCTTAACTATTTTTAGCTGCCTTGTGATAGTACTTGGATGCCTTTTGCGAACAGGACAAGCTCGTCAAATGCTCGCAATCTTTGGTGACCCTATAGTCGACAGTAACACCAAAAGCCGAAATTTGCCTGCATTGGTGTAGTTCTATGAGAAATACTACAATCGTCTGCAATTAACAAATCAGGAACGGGCAAATGCCAATAATGTGGTGCAGAGGTATCGGGCACAAAAAGTCCAAACTGTGGATGGAGTTCCCGCTCAGGGAGGATTCTGGATGATATTACCTTTGCTTCTTCCCTTTGTAGCGTCAATTGTGGAAGGCATTGCTAGGGCTGTTGCCAATTAAGAGAACCTTTATAAACATATATATATATACTAAAATTAAAGTAAAATATAGGAAAAATAAACTTGAACTCATTGAAAAAAACTTCTGAGAAATTCCTAAACCAAAATTGTGAGAGTGTCTTTGAATTTTCACAACCTTTTCTAAGCAAAGAGGCTCAAGTGGCATGGCCATGGATGGCTGAATATGTATCTATGGGGATTTTCTGCTAGAGTGGGAGTCAATACCTGAGCGAGGAGCGTTTCCTGTTGACAGGTGAGCATTGTCGATTGTCAAGTCGCCTGCCGTTGACAATTTGTAAATGACATTTGACATGCCGCAGCAGAAGTGTGGTCCTGGAAACCTGGCAGTCGACATCGAGTGGATTTTATGCAAATTGGCGAATTTGAGCTGGGGATCTGGGGATCTGGGCTCGCCCTGTGAAGTGGATACTCTTGTGTATCCTGCAGGAAGTTGTTAAGCCAGTCAAGTGGCTGCCATCGCAATTAACTGCTTCACAGGCTGATGAGAGGCCCTCGACTGAACGCCAGTTATGTTTAGTATGTGCCCCTGACACCAAAAGTGTGTCCAAATTGTGCGTGGCGCTCTGGCAAGCAATGAGTGAAATGATACCCGAAACCATTGAAAGTGCACTGAGGCCTGAAGACAAAGTCGTAGCCGACCAGGCAATTCTTCCATTTAAATTCCGCTTTATTGCCCCCGCAAAAAGCGACAAAAGAGCCACGCCACATTTACACAACGCAACAGCGGGGTTCATCTTCTTGGAAAGACCAGCGATACCAGGCGATACAAGGCGATACTCGAGCAACGGCAGTTTCTGGTTGACTCATTGACTCATTGGTGTCAGTGAAGGCGACTCTGCCATAAGAGGCACATTTCGGATGAGTCATGGCAACTGGCGAGAAAGTGAGTGCCGTCCAAAAGAACCACATAGCCAATCAAGGCTTATTTCAATTAGGTTGTTGGCAGGAAGGAAAACGAAAAAAGTTTTCTCCAAATTGACAACATGTATAGTTGCTGTCTTAAGTTGGTATGGAAAACTATACAAAACGCAATTAAAATCCAACATCCAAGAAAAACATGATAGTGTTTGCCATATATGCTAAATGAGAAAATAATATATTTTTTTTAGGTTGAGATATTCAAAACAAATATCTAGATTCACACATTTAAAATGGGTTTGGGCATTTAAAATAGTGTATTAGCTATTCACAACTATCTACTTTACCTATAGACATAAGTGAAAAACCCCATCATTCGAAAGTACTACAAATAGTAATAGGAAAGTCTGGTACTCACCGTTCTTCTATGGTGGTGGGCAGTTGGGTGCGTGCACGCATCATGCTGAGGAAATGTTTACCGTGGGAGATGCCCCCGCCGGTGGAGCTGCTCGGTCCACCGAGTCCACTGCTGCCCTCCGAAAGGTATCCATTGTCGATGTCGTGGAACCGCGATGCCCCCGGAGAGCTGCCCACGCGCAGGGCATCACCATCGCTGCAGTAGCCCTGTCCAATGTCCGACTCGCAGAAGTCCAGATACGATTGGTGTGGGTGATGTGGGTTTTGGTGATTTGGGTGGTGGTGGTGGCCACCGCGTGCTCCCCCTCGTGGGTAGCGTCACGTGCGAGTTGTAGCCCCTGAGCAGCGGCCGCATGGGCAGAACGGAGCTGCCGGCGGACGAAGGTGGCGCTGGGGGCAGCTGCTCCTCCTTGGACTCATAGATGGTGCCCACAATCTTCGAGGGTATCGTGTGGAACTTGCTCGGCGAAGCGGTGGGTGTGTTGGGGGCCGAGTTGACCAGCGGTCGAGGCAAACCCTGTCGTTGGTGCTGGTGGTGTGGCGGCGAGGACAGGATATGTGGTCCGGCATTGTACTCCAGCTTCCGGGGGGCACTCAAAGCGGACTTTGGCGGGGCTAAGCGACTGCTGCCGTAAATACTGGGAGTACTGGGCTCACTCAGATACCCGTGCGATGATATGTGGCTCGGTGGCTGACTATTTGCATAGTAGGGCGGTGGTGGTGGTGACGTCGTCTGGAGGATATGTGTGCTGCCGGGTGGCTCCACCACCGCTGGCTGTGGTATGGATATGTTCGAGGATATGTCGCTGGTTTCGCGTTTGTTTAGCTGTTGCGTTTGCTGCGGCTCTGCAGTGGGCGCACCGCCACCCAAAGAGGGCAGCTTGCTGGTGCCCTTGATGGCGGCTATGGGCTTGGGCAGACCCGCACCACTGGGACTCTGGAGCAGCTGGGGCGCCTTCAGGGAGCTCTTCGAGTCCGACTTGGAGTGCAGCGAGGACTTGGAGGCGGTTTTGGGTGTATTCTTCTCTGCAGCACCAGCAACAACTCCTCGGGCCAGCGAGGACTTGCCCGTTCTGCCCATGGTTGAGCTGCGCGACTCATTGCCCGACTCCTCCTTGTTCAGCGACCTCGCCGGACTCTTCTCCTTCTTGTCCAGCTTGGCCGCCTTGTTGGACTGCTCCTTCTTCTGCTGGGCAGCCAGCAGCTTGGACTGCTTCGTCTTGGGCTGCGGCTTCTGGGCACTCACACTGATGCTGGGTGGCTTTAGCTGCGAGCCATGGCCATCATTGAGACTCAGGCTAGAGTCGGATCGCTCCGAACGGGCGGAGCTGAAGCCCGAGGAGGAGGAGGTGCGCTTCGACTGGATCTGGGACTTGCTGGCCACCGCCGCCGCATTCACCGCATTCTGCTGCTTCTCCTTGTTGAACAGCTTCAGTTTGTCCAGCATCGAGTGCTTTTGAGGAGCGGTCTGCGGACTGCTCGGCGAGGGAATGCCGCTCTGGTGGCCACTCTTCACGCTCGGCGGGCGCAGGCTGCAAGGATAATCACATAGTTAGTACAGTTAATAAAACAAAAAAAAAACAAAAACCACAATAAATAAATTAATCAAATTATGTAATAAACTTTCAAAGTACATATTAAAGTATGATTATATGATTTTACGGACAATCTTAAGTCCATGAATACTTTAAAATTTTCTTTAAGAGATTGTAGTCTTTGATTCCTTGATTTTGATTTAAGGACCTACAATAATTTGATAAGCAAAAACCAATTCTTTAGTAGTTAATCAGTAATTATAAGAATTCTGTTGTAGTAAGTCATTACATTAGTTATTTTAAAATGCAATTATTTAAACTTTATTTAATATATAATATTATTATTATATATTATATATTACATATATAACGATTAATTAGGAGTGTTGCTTACCTATTATTATTGCCGCTCTTGAGACTCTGGATGGTGTGATTGCTAGTGGGCGGACTGTTTGGACGGCTCGAATTGAAATCACTTCCGCTCTTTCCCAGGCCCGGTATCGCTGAAAACAAGAGCAAAGCCAAGGGTTACAGATTGCTTTAAGGAACTGCAAACCCACTCGACTTTCGGCGCCCACTTAACCGAAAGAGTCAGCCTATAAATCAATGCAAAAGGGCAATGCGGACGTTAAAGTTAATTAATTGCCTTGCGTGAGGCTGATAACAGATTGGATGGAGTCTCTGATCCGAGATTTATGCCTGCGCCGAGAACAGCCAAATATTTGGAATATAAATCATTAAGGAGAGTGTAAATGTTCTATAAATATGCCCAAAGACCGTGACTCAAGCACAACAAAGCGTTTTGTGCGGCACTCATTTACAAATTGGGTCAAAAATGCATGACAGACTGGAAAGTTCTTACTCTTTATGACCACTAATAAACTATAAATCTAACAAAAGAAAAAATATACATATTTATAAACATTACCTATCAGAATAGTAAAACTTCCCCAACATTAATTTTCTTAACTAAAATTCTATATAAATGAAAGTAAATTATTTATTCAATTTAAAAATGGCCTGTCTTATGGTTTTATGTTTGAAAAAAGGAATTTTTGTATATGTGACACTCTGAGTTCCTTGCTTTTTTAAGTACTCTCCAGCCTCCTAATTAAAATATGAATTCAGTTACCTTTTCCACAAATCAACGTCACCTTTTTGGAAAAGGCGAATGCGGAATTCTAACCCCAAAGGGGTCCCCAGAGAGCTTTGATTGCGGAGTAAGGATCTCCCCTCCGATGGCAAAATCTCGGTCACAATCCCACCCAGGGAACGCATCTGAAAGGGCTAAGTGCAGTGCCTGTTTTCCTCGCTGGGGGTTGTTTGCTGTGCCCCGAGACCGAAATTTGTTTATTCCCGGTAAACAAGGGGGAGGTCCCTCACCTCCCCTAAAAACGCACCCGGGGTGGTTGAGGACTTGAAATATTTTTTAATAAATTTCCCACACCCTGCGAGTACTTACATGGCGTATGATTCGGTGTGGGCGGCAGTGGACGCACTTTGTCCGGCGGACAGCGACGTTGGACCATCACGGTGGCTGGCAGTGGAATGGCAGTGCCGCCATTGACCTTTGCATAGGCGGGCGCAATTTGTCTGCAATCGGAAAAAACACATAAAGATATTAAACTGCATAAAATAGCAAAAATATGGTATGAATTCACAGGGAATTATAAAAATATAATATGATAGGAGCTCACAGGGAATTACAAAAGTACAAATATATGTTTTTTAAAAGCAATCATTTATGGTTTCAATGGCAGACGCCCACGTCTCCCTTCCCCAGTAAATATTTATAGGCAGTCACAATTGCAGATTGGCATGGACTGCAAAAACAGAATCTGTAAGATACTTTTAAAAATAATTTTACGCTTTTAAATTAGTGAACGTATGGCTTGTTGTTGCCGCCAAGCCCCTTGGTGCAATAAAAAAAAAAACAAAAACCGAAGAGAAACAACAACGAATTTAAAAGTCAACAGTGCAGTTAATTTTTTTATGATCGGGCTCATAAATTTGCATATCTCGTTGATTGTCATATGACAAAGATACTTTTGTTTGCAGACATGTAAAAAGCGTAGCTAAGTAGCCATTGTTAATGCAATTATTTATGCCGGACATAAGCAAAGTACAAGCTTAGATTTTACGGGTTTTGAATTGGCCTTCAGAAAATTAAGTTGAAATTTACATTCTTAATTGCACGAGGTTTGGCATCTATGAAATTGATAAGATATTTATTAAGTATCTGGCATTGCAAATAATATTAGCCTGCGTCCAGCTCTAATAAGGTATTCCCTTCTTGGATTCTACATAAATTGCAGCCCAGACATACAAAACATTTTTCCAGAGCTTTTCATTGAAGTTTACGCAATTAGTCATAAGACTGATTAAGAAGGCAAATTAAGAGGGAAGTAAAAAAGCGTATAAAAATACAAAACGCACTAACTTTTAATAAGTCGCGCACATAAAGTTCTGGACGGGATACCGAGCCAACTGGCAGACAAAGCCCTAAGATACAAATGTATCTTCTACTGCCGCCACACAATTGTTGTTGGCCATTAATAAGTCAGCCAGAAAAAGGCGGAGAACGGGTAACAATGGTATTAAATGAGTAAAAAGCAGACAATAAAAACAAAGCTGACAGACAAGCGAAGTTACGGCAACGGCTCCTACTGCAAATTAAATACGCATGCCAGACTTTAGAAGGATGCTTCCTCTACCTTTTACCTCGTCGTCAAGACATTTTTCCTTGCCATCGCGCAGACAAACAGCAAACGAAACTTGGCAAAATCTTACAAAATTACTTTCATATTATTTTATTTGCATTTTATATTGTTCGTCAAGACGTCTGCGGAGTTTGGTTCGCCTTCGCCTCTGTGTGATTTTTGAAAGGGTGTCGATTTTTTGCCATATAAGGTGCGTACCTTTCCACAGATGTATCTTTGAATTGTAAGTGTGTAAGGTTTAAGGAAGAAGACTCTTGTATATAATGGTAGGTTGGAACTCCCAAATATTAAAAAAAAATACTTGAGCCCACATATAGCAGACTCAAAAATGGAATATGTATAAGCACTTTTAATTGAAGAACTTAGTCTTATACTTCAATAGGTCGAAGTTTTAAAACAAAAAACATAATTTCTATAATTCAAATATATAATAATTTTAATTTTTCTCCATTGGAAGTTTGATAGTCTTGAAAACACAATTGAATATTTATTTATTTATATATATAAAATCAAATTAAACTAATATATATAAGTTTAAACTTAGAACTCTTAACAACCATAGAATCTGGTCTTTGGATTTATAAATCCCCTAAAAGGGAAGCCCCTATTATATTTTCCTAATGATGGATCTGTATGTTTTGTTTGACATTCACCCACCCACAGAATATTTCGCTGGAACCCCTGCTCTCCATCTGTATCC